AAAGCAAATGTGGATAACCTGGTGAGGGCCAGTGTTTTAGTATTGTCTCAGAACATCAGGTATGAGATGAGATCAATGACCCCGTCTGGCTGAAACCACCAGCTGAGTTGTTAAAGTGCAAAATGAGATTAGACAAGAATAGATTCAATTACGCAGCACCCTAAGATCTCTCCTCACCCACACAGAGCGACATTACATTAGGTTGAGTGGATAAATATCACATTACTGAATATAACTTTATCACACTTGAATGTGACGATGATCGCTCTTCTGGACACCTCATTCATTTTACACCACGTAGAATAGAATTAAGCATAAAGGGATGGAACACAACAGAAAAAGAGAAAAACATCTACATTTTGTTGCAAATCTAGTTTAGAAAGTGTTTCAAAATATGGAGAAAAAGCCAATGTAGGGGTATTTATTTCAGAAATAGCCTGAATGAGGATTAGTGTGAGTCATGGGAATAAACGTCCATAATTAATTGTGCGGTTACGCCACCTTTTTTTGTGCACGATTATTCAATTTCAGTGCTGCTGGGTGATAAGAGAACAAATAAAAATAGATGTTTGATCATATTTATTGTTCTAATTACACTAAAATTATTGGATGATTATAGGAACATGAGCTTAACCTCTTAACATCACACATCAGTGTCAAGTGTATTATTTATAACAATATTAATTTAGATCATATCAACAATGAAGCGTGTAACCAACAATGTACAGCGATCCTGGCTGATTGTTATTATTAGTCTTTTTAAGACAAGCGTCACCTTTAACATCACCAGGACCATCATTTCTTCTGTCTGTGTGTGTGTGTATATACTAAGCATTTGCTAATGGGTCAGCTGAGCCAATAAGTCTGTTGATAACTCTATGTAACGGGTATTTATAGGTTATTGCGAACATAAGCTTCACTAGGCAGCTACTCATTCACTTAGTCAGGAAACAGCTGAACTCCTAAACAATGTGAAACAGAAGACGACTTTGTGGTAAATGTTTTGGCGTATTGACAATTTTCTATTTAGTCGGATCATTTCAATGCAAACACAAGAAGCAGCCAAACTCCAACACAGGGATGCAAGTGTGTGATGTACCATGATTACACTGCACGTCCATAAGCAATGCATTCAGCATTACAGATGGTCTTGTGCATTACCATCCTCTGCAGTGAGAGGAGAACCAGCTTACAACTGTCACTACTTTTTGCAGATGTGCTCAATCAGAACCTCTTGGAGTCGTCAGTGCAACATCTGTGTGAGGCGGACATCAATCCGCTCTGAGAGTTCAGGAAAAAACATCTACTTCTGTCCCCAACTGGCCCGTCCGTCTCATCTCTTTAATCAGCCCCACAACTCAGCCCTTCTTATTTCTAGGATTACAGCTGCTTTCAGTGAAGACGACTGCCAGGACACAACGCAGCCAGATCTCATCCTCTCCGACACCTTTCACTGGATGCACTATCTGACACAATTTTTGCCAACTCCTATTAAATTAAATTCCCCCGTCCATATTAAGCCACAAAACACTTCGTTAGCAATCGACAAGAGATGCTGCATGATAAATATAAACCGATGTCAGGATGTACAATTCAGACACGCGCACATGGACTGGACACACACAACCAAGCACACACTATTTCTAATGTCCAGTATCGGATTCGGCATCACTGTGTGTTGACAAACACTTTACTACACATCAAATGGTGAGCAGCTTTTTCCACTGAAATTTCAAGGATAGAAGAGACAACAGGTGCTGCAGGGCTTTCCTTTCATATTCATTACATTGCAAAATGATGCACTGGCTATATTTGTGGGCTGATATCAGCTCCTTAAGCTAGATTTTACATGCCGAGAAGAGCAAGGAGTACCATGACCAACTCTCCTGGGAGGTTGAGGGGTGAAGACTAACGGCTTGCTTGCCTGTGCAGGCTTGTTCAAGGCTCATTAGATCACCTTACACTTATAGGATTGAGACAAAATGACAGATGAACTCTACTAATTGACAAAAGACCGAAAAACAAGGTGTGCCAACAGATATCTCAAGAATAGTGGCAAGAGGAAGCCTTCGACGTCACTGGAGAAAAAACAGAACAGTATAAAAGCAAGCGGGAGATGAAGGCGCGGTGGGAGGGAAGTGGGAGCCAAGCAAGTTAAAAAGTATTTTTAGGAAGATGTTTATTTGTAGGTCTGTGAAACCAACCCGGGGTGTATATCTACCAGTCTTGCCATCTCTCTACCTCTCTCTCTCGCTCGTTCTCGCTCTCTCTGGTACCATCTGTTGAGGTCTCTCAGCCTGTCACTGTGCTTCAGCTCTATAGGTAGGGGACATGTTGCACTGACAAAACAATTCTGCACATTCACTGCAGCTGGTGCCATTTGAATATGTCCATTGAAATGTTGCTCTTTTCCTTCCCTGTGCTGTTAACCACCAAAAACAAAGCAGATTAAGTATAATTAGTATAGATCGGGGTTTTTCCTGGCTCAGACTGGGCCTTCAGGTCTGTGAAATATGTGCTTTTTTGTTTTTTCTGACCAATAACAGACAACAATATCTATTATACTTGAGTAAATGAAACTCATATGAAAACAGTTTTTAAAAAAATTGGTGTTAGTGATTTTTCTTTTGCCAAAAATTATTTCATGGGGCACCACGATTCCTCTATGCAGGATTACACATGTGAGGACATTCGATTGTGACAACACAAACAACAGCAGCTACAGTTTAGAAAGCTGGAAAACATGAAGATGCACAATCAAGTTTGAGAACACAAGCAAAGCAGGATTTTTTTCTCCGGATGTGTAGAACCTACAAGTCTTGTTACAGCCCTTACTGTAACTCAGAACACATTTCAAGTTTCCTAAAATACTCTGCCGACTCAATTACAGCAAAAATATTACACCTGTTGCTCGATAAACATTTTTCTTTTCACCTGGGACCCTTTAGTTCAGCCAAACACAGACAGCAGCCGGAAGCGAGCCATGCAACCTCGCTCATCTTGTGTTAGAGCTGCAATGATAAATCAGTTAGTTGTCAACTAACGTAATCAGACACTATTTTGATAATTGACCGATCAGTTTGAGTTATTTTCAAGACAAAAAATGCCTCCAGCTTTTTAAATTTAAATATTTTTCAGCTTCTTTCCTCCTCTATGACCAGAAACTCACTATTTTTTTTTGCAATGTGGCCAAAACAAGACATTTGAGATTTTGGGTTTGGGAAAACACTGATTGACATTTTCACCATTTCGAGCATTTTATAGAGCAAACAACTAATTATTTAACCAAGAAAATAATCTATGTAGCCATTAGTAGCAGCCCTGTGTTGCATTAGGTTTATTTATCTATTTAAATGTTTCTATTATTATTTTCAAACACTTCCTCTCTTTGTTTTATTATTCAAACACAAAACAGGGAAGTTAATGTGTAATTTCTGACTGCCATCTGTTTACTTTTATAATACTAAACTGAATTAGGAGAACATTTAAAGGCTATTTAAAAAGTCAATTCTTAATTAAATTGTCTAAAATGTGGCTAAAACTAGTAATAATCACAGATACCTGCAGTGTAAACAGAGACTACAGTGGTGAACTCAGACAAAGCAGCCACTTTAAACTGAATATTGAATTTTAAGCTATTTCCAGGCTTCACCTAAGAAACCTAATGGTACTGTTACACCATAAAAAGTTTTCTACCTGGCACTCATGTTCAAGTAATTCAGCTGAAGGAATGGACGACGGCTGTGGGCTTTACTTTGAAATGAACCATCCACCATGGCGACCAGGTAGCAGCTCACTAAACCTGGTCAACCAAACATGAGCAACATCGTCCTACTCAACTGAAAACACTGAAGTGGACAGTTTGTGTGTCAGGTAAATATTTCAAAGACAAAAGAGGAAGCTGTATTAACCTTTGCGGGTGTTGTTTTTGTCCCAGTTTCGCCGGCGCACCTGTGTCAGTTGACTTTTAGCTCTGACAGCTCATTAAACGCACCTGTCAGATTCGTCCTCCAGGCTGAAGGCCCGGATGTCCGCGGGGCGACCACCGTCCTCCTCCTCCTCCTCCTCCTCCTCCAGCTACTTCAGTAAGGCCAACAAGACCAGGCTAAAAACTCATTTACCAATAGTTTTTCTTATTTGTTGTACTTATAAATTGCTAAATCTAGCATACATCAGGTTAAAAATAAATAAATAAATTAAATTAATTTTAAAAAAATCTTATTTCTTGCACTTTAAATGTGCTAACTTCAGCACTGATGAGGCTAAAAAATAAGTTTACTGATCATTTTATATATTTCTTGTACTTTTAAGGTGAGAAATTCAGCATTCTCCCTGCTTAAAATTAATTTTAACTATTTTTTTTGTACCTTTAAGGTGTCTAATTTAGCATTCATTAGTAACATGAAAAATAATCTATTTGTAGGTGGAGTGGGGCATATTGCTCATTTAAATTAGCCTGCATACTGACCTACTTATGTAGGACTAAAATAGTAGCACCTAATAAATTTTCTCTCCACCGACCCTTTTTACTCCAAATTCTGCTCTCACTGTTTAAAACGTGTTCCAGGTTGAGTGATATTATGAAAAGACTCCTGTATATTTTATAAGTTGAGACTAAAATGTTGGGGAAAGACTGGGGAGGGTGGTATTATATTTAGACAGTCTGCAAGGCAATCGGGGGTAACTGAAAGACAACACTGAGAAAGTTCCACGGCCTAAAATATCTGCCCACACAGCTTCCAGCAGGACTGAAGTGCCAGGTGCGAGGACAGCTAAGGCGCAGATGCCCAGTTTCATACTGGGGCTGTTTCAGACTTTACGCAATTAGAGTGAGGTCAGTGGTTTCGAAAATAATCCAGTCTGACATGTTAACGTGCTAAAATGCATTTTAAAAAGCCACTCACTGACATGGATGTGAGGGAATGGTGCAAATCTGTGCGTAATTACGCACGGCGGTACAAGCGCAGCCTGCTGCTCAGAGCCTCCACATCCAAACCTACCTTTCTCTGCTGCTTCTCCCAGGCAGGGTCCAGCAGCAGGTCCCTGTCCCAGTCTTCCTCTTGGGTCATATACGCCTCTTCATGTTGGATCGTGTAAGAGTTGCTGTATGTAATTTGGGTTTCGACAGCTGTCATCGTTCCGCCTCTGTTAGGACTTCGCGCGTCCCCCTCAGCTTATTGTAAGAAACAATTAATCGGCAATAGAAACAACGACGACGAAGTGAGGGCAGGAACCTCCTTGAGACGAGGGAGTCTCGCTGTCGGGGGGAGAGACAGTTAGGGGCTGCAGAGACCAGACTCCACTGGTGCGAGGTGCCTGTGCGGAGTTGGTGCTCCCACTACCAGAAGACCCTGCTGGCCGGTGCTCCTTTCCTGGTCAAAAGTGGCACACGTGACCGCACCCCAATAAGTATGGGAACCGGCAGCTTGGGTATCAGGTTCTGACCCTAAAAAGGTGTAATAGGCGGGGAAGTGTCCCGGCGGGCAGGGATAAGGGGCTTGTGAGTGGTGCGGAGGTATGTCAATAACGCCTCCTCGCACCAGAGAGGTTTTTATGGCCTGTGCAATGCACCTGTTGCTGTTAGTGATCCTCAATGGCAAGCCCAGGCCTCAGTAGCTTCAACCTACCTCTTCCATAAAACAAGATCAAGCAGCTGAATCTAAAATTCTCAAAAACTGTGAATCTATAGAATTAAAAGCCAGTTGTTTAACAGATTTTGGACAAGTCCCACTTCTGACTATAGTCCTCACATCAGGCAGGGTAGTCCCACATGGGCCTGCACTGACAGCAGCTTCAAACATCTTCCTCCACCCTGCTAAAATTAGGCTGCAGGTAAACGCATGCTTTTGACTGTAGTTTCTATCATAAAGATGCCTCAAAATCTATCCAGATATATTTGTAGCAGAAATTCATTTGCAATAAAAAGAGATCAAGACACATATGAGAAAAAAGAATTTATTCATGATTTTCATGCAGACTGAAAAAATGCCTCAACATTTTTAGAAATACACGTTAAAAGGCATATATACATATATATATGCATACACAGCCGTACAATATAATCTGCGTTTATATCAGGATTTGTCATTCACAGTAAACATGTTGACGCAAACGTTTGATCTAACATTCATCAACTGAAATCCCCTCATCCCCTCATTCAGCTTTGTGCTGGAACAAATTCCTTTGAAATGAGCAGATCCAGATTGCTATCCTCTGGAGATGACACATTATTCAGTCACCCTTGATGTCTTTGGAAACTAGAATGATTTATGTTGTAATTAATCAAGCATTTAATGTAACTACACTAAGCTTGGTCCATTAACCTACATGAAGAAGCTTAGCTACTGTGCGACTATTTGTGGTTACCATCCTTCCTGTGCGACTACTGAGGTGGGGGAACTGAAATTGCTGATCTCTGTAAACACAATACGATGTGAGTTCTGATGAAGAAAAAGACAGATTGGCTTCTGGTGGCTATGATACATAAACAGACAGGGGGTGGACAGAATAACATGAACACCTCATAATGTAAAAAAAAAATGTATATCAGCATTAGGTAAACATTGTGAGCTGCTCAAAGGTGTAAATAATCCATGTTGTGATAGATTAACCTGCGATGCACTCTGCAGGTGTTCATATCGTGTCTGCCTACTCTAAACGAGGTAACGCCTGAGGTAAAACTACTGGTTTAAACAAAGGTTGCGCAACTGATGTCAGTCATTTCACATTTTTTGCTAGAAGACCTACAAAAGTCTCGGTCACATTAACTAAACCTGCTGAATTTCACCTTGCAAACTCAAAGGCAAAAATGGTCTTATAGGTGTTGTGCTCAAACTTAACTGGAGCGGGTTCCAGATTGTACATCTCAGCTGATTTCTGCTGCAGAAGAACAGATTGAACCTGCAGAATCCCATGAAAAACAACACAATACACAGACGTGTGCGTACAGAGAGCATCTGAGTTCTTCAGGCTGTCCAAACCGCAGAAGGCAGGGGCAGTTTGGGTGAGGAAGTGGAAGTAGGGAGGAGGCTGCAGCGAGCTTTGGCTGTCAATACAGTGAATTCAGAGCAGGAGGGGGGTTTAAGAGATGCGTGCGTGGCTGCATTCACCCAAGCACGGGAAGCCCAGACTCGCAAGCGCCAGAAGAAGCCTTTAGTGAGGAATTGGGAGAGTGGGGAGGATGAGGTGGCTGGAGGGAGAAAATTGGAGCGTCGTGTGCCCTGATCATGGAGGCTGAGAGAGGAGTCAGGCAGCGCTTTTCCACTCAGTCAGCAGCTGCATTGTTGTAGCAAAACTGACCTGTAGCCACATCTTGGTAGCACAGAATGTATGGCTTTTAAAGTATATAAAAATGTATACATGTACATAAATGGAAAATCGGTTTGGGTTATTTTTTTTGCACTTCAGTAGTAAAAGATCAAGTGCATCCAGTCACTCACACCTCGGCATCAAAGCCTTGTTATTAGGACACACTAAAACCAAATGAAAACAGTCTTTTTAAGGATAAAATTCCCAGTAAATCTAAATAATAGGGTCCTCCAAGATCAGGAAGGTGAGGTTAGGGAGCAGCTTTGGACAAAGGATCCTACCAACTCACCTTGTAATCAAACTCATCTATTCTTTCCTCTCCACCTCCTTTTTCCCTTCCCTTTGTTTGTTAGGCAGACAGAAGGCAGCGCCATCTTTGTCTCGATTCCATCTCGCAGCTGTCAGAGCAAATGCCAGACAACTCGTATGACAGACTGAAAGCCAGTAAAGTGTGCGATTGTGTGTGAGGACTAAGCTCTCTATCTCAGCACGGGGACAGTCTTAACAGGTAAGAGCACATACAAGTCACTCAGAGCACATATCCAGCCAGTCCAGCTGATCCCAGCATCAGAGAAATAGAGCTGCCCTACCAGAAAAGTCCTATAGGAATCCTGAGATTGATGAGAATCTACAGGTCAGACTGGCCTCATACCTAGGCCTATCTTATAGGACGTTTCTGATTGGCACACAGGCTGTGAGGGACCCAAAGGTGAGCGAAACCCTTATAGTCTGGGGTCGGTTTATCACTTAATGGGGCTAAGTTCTTTTGGGAAAGATCCCTTCCACAGCCATGTGGTGCAAACCCAGCATTCAACAGTTTTAGCAAAGCGACTCGTCCAACCCTGAAGTCTCTCTGTGTCATGTTACTGAGTCCGGCGGCAGGCCACCACACATACACTGTCCATTGGCACGCCCAGGCCTCTACGGTAACAAAGGAGGATGGGGAGTTTGGGTCAGGTGGGTGGTTCTGGGAAGTGTCGAGTCCGAGCCAGAGCCACGAACCCAGATCCAAGGTGGCGGCGGCGGTGGCGGCGGGAAAAAATAAGCGCTGTGTTTGTGTGTGTGAACGGCGGAGAGGAGAGGCGCATAGGGACAGTAGGGCAGGGTCGGGGAGGGAGGGAAAGAAGGGAGGGGTGGGGAAGGAGGGAGGAAGGAGGGAGGGAGGGAGGGAGGGTGAAGGGGGTGAGGGCGGCGAATACGGCGGTGGAGAGGAGTTGACTAGCGGGCAGGGGAAGGGTGGGGGTTCGTCCGCATATATGCCAAGCCTCACCAATCAATGAAGCAACACCCAAAAAAGTTCCTCACACATTTACGCTCTCTTCAACACATCCATCCATCCATCCATCCATCACACCTTCTGTTCACCAACTCAGACACCAGCAGGACAGAGAGGGCACCGCCAGTCGCCTTGTATGCTGATGCGAGACTCTTGTGGAGGGCTCCTGACCCCCACCCCTCCCTGCCCACCACCCCCACCGAAGGAGAAGCCCAAGGCTATAAAGGTGTGGCACTGCCATTGCAGCAGAGGAGGAGTTACGGATTGGGGAGGTGGGGGAGAGGGGGGAGGTGGTGATGGCAAGAGGAGAGGAGAAGGGGGGGAGGAGTGTTTTGGGCAAGGCACAGTCAAAGGAGGGGGGGCGGCAGGTGGGGAGAGGAGAGGTCAGTGCTTTTATGATTGTTTTTTTTTTGTTGTTGCTGTTGTTGTTGCTGTTTTTTCATTTACCTTGGTGGTGAAGAGAGCGAGAACAAGTTCCCACTGCGGTGGCGTCGCGCTAAAAGTCGTCCCCATGGCTCACGCCGCCACGCTCACGCACGGCTGCACGCTGGCCGTTCCAGGTGGCACGGTGACCTAATTCAGTTGAGATAGTTAGTTCAGAGCTGGACTGTCGTGGGGCTGTTTTTTTTTTTTGCTTATTTTTTTTTTTGTTTGCGGCAGAGTTACAGATTATCACACATGCAGGTCTGAGAGTAGAGTGGACATAGAGACACACGGAGAGGGAGAATTTGGTGCAGCAGGGAGAGACCAGACCAGACCAGACGCACACCCATCAACCCCAGGAACAGGACTGCTCCACAGATCAAAATGCACCCAGGCCATTCTATCTGTGTGCCTCTCCCCAGCTCTCAATGTAATTTCACAGTGTGTATAATGTCATTTCTGCATGAAAATCAATTTTTTAAAGCAGCGCATGAAGCGTGTCTTGCCAGAATTAAATACTGAGATGCATTTGGTCAGATGCAAACCCCCCCCTTCAAATACATTTTTTTGGGTTGCAGAGCTTGAGAGGCTGGAGAGAGAAAGGAGCACCAACCCGCACTTACCCAGACCAAAGAGAGCAAAGCTGGGCCAGCATCTACACCTGTCTCCCCCTGGGTCCCCAGTCAAATGGGTCTGGTGGTCATTTTACACAAGAGAAACAGATAGTGGAGAAGAACAACATAAACAAGAAGAAGGGGAAATGTCCAAACCCTTTGCTTTCTTTTACCACAGTAGTCAGCCAAACATTCTTTATTATAATAAGGTTTATAGTATACATATTCTCAATAAAAAGCATGCCGATTGTGTTTTTGTTTTTTTTTTAACTTATCTTTTGTCTTTTCTTTAAAAAAAGGCAAAATTAAAATACTTCTCTAAAAAATACGGTCTCAAACATGGCAAACAAGACATTTCGCAAACCACATATTTCTACAAAGGATGCAACTGGTATGTGTTTGTATATACGACACAGAAAGATTACACTGTGAGATGCAAAAAGTCACTTAACCACTAAAAACCACAGGAGGGGAGGGGAGGGGAGGAGGGGGAACAACGAGGCAGTAAGGTGATTCAGAGGGTCTATCTGTGTGTGTGCATCAGACCGCTGTCAAATAGTAGTTGCAAAAAAAACAAAAACAAAAGAAAAAACGCTTCACTGATTGTTTTCAGTCATTGTAGAACCGTATGCGTGGAGTTTGCGACTCAGGACAAGCTCATGCATGTGAAAAGTACGTGTCCAGTTTGTTTGTTTTTTTTCTATCCCAACTCTCCGGATGTTGCAAACCCCACCTATAGAATCCAACAACTCAATTAAAAGTGACACAAAAGTGTTTTT